CTAGACCCTAAACCCTAAACCCTAAACCCTAGACTCTAAACCCTAGACCCTAAATCCTAAACCCTAAACCCTAAACCCTAGACCCTAAACCCTAAACCCTAAACCCTAGACCCCGAATGTTCCGGAGCCAGGTCTTCGACATCCTCATGTACACGGATGCCGAGGGGGAGAAGTACGACCTTCGGCAGACTCCTTTCAAGGCCATCCCCCCCAAAAGGGTTTAGGGTTTAGGNNGGGTTTAGGGCATAGGGTTTTAGGGTTTAGGGTTTAGGGTTTAGGGTTTAGAGTTTAGGGTTTTTCAAGGCCAGGGCGGGATGCTAAGAGCAGATCTTGAGGGTTTAGGGCTTGAGGGTTTAGGGCTTCAGGCTTTAGGGTTTAGGGCTTAGGGCTTCAGGGTTTAGGATTTAGGGCTTTAGGGCTTTAGGGTTTAGGGGTTTAGGGTTTAGGGTTCAGGGTTTGGATTTAGGGTTTAGGGTTCAGTTCATTGTGGTTGTTATGGTATAGTGTATAGTGTTTGTTAGGGACTCCGTTCAAGGCCTTCCCGACCCGGAGGGTTTGAAGGGCTTTTGGTGCTTTTGGGGCTTTGTCATGGCGCACCTCGCACGCCTCAGTGAAGAGCAGTGTTCCGCAGCTTGCAGCACCTGTGGCCGAGTGTATGATGGCTGGGTGTCCCTGCAAGATCTTGAGCAGCTCACACGACGATGGGTGCTCTTGACAGAGGCTGAGTTCACCCCGCGGCAATTGCCCGCCTTTTGGCGGAGAGTTGCGGGGGAGCGGGGGGGGGCGGCGCCCCCATGCGGAGCAGCAAACGGTGCTGGACCAGGCTGTCAACAAGCTCAAATATGCAGGGCTTTAGGGTTCCTTGGGCTGTGGAGCTTCGGAAACCCTCAACCCTTAAACCCTAAACCCCTAAACCCTGAACCCTAAACATCAAGGTCTAATTGAGGAATGTACTGTTAGTTGTTATAGGATCCTTAGTATGAGTTAGGGAGTATCCCGTAATTAGGTATATTGCAAGATCTGGCAAGCGTTCTACACAGGCTTTGTGCGGGTTAGATAGGGTCTTGCAAACGTGTTGTTGCAGGGCTTTAGACCCGACCTAAACCCCAAACCCTCAATTTTTGGGAGCCTTAAATAAACCCTAAATCCTATATAGTGAGATGCTTTACTTCTCCCTTGAAAGCCTCTGGAGATTAGCGCTTTAGGGACCCTTGAACCCTAAACCCTAAACCCTCTTGAGCTTTGAGGGTTTCAGGGCTTCGGGGCTTGAGGCTTTTGAGCTTTGAAGGGCTTCAGCGCTTTAGGGCTGCAGGCCTTTAAGGTTTCAGGGCCCTAAACCCTAAGCCCAAAACCCTAAGCCCTAAACCCTATACCCTAAACCTAAACCCTATACCCTAAACCCAAAACCCTATACCCTAGACCCTAAACCCTATACCCCAAACCCTAAACCCTAAACCCTAAACCCTAAACCCTCGGCTTCAGGGTTGAGGGTTTTCAGGGCTTCAGGCTTTCGGGGCTGCAGGGCTTCCGGGCTCTGGGGTTTAGGAGTTTGCGGGAGGGCCCAGAGTTTCTTGCATACCCGGTTCGGGTTTAGGGTTTAGGGTTTAGGGTTTGGGGTTTGGGGTTTGGGGTTTAGGGTTCAGGGTTTAGGGTCTAGGGTCTAGGGTTTTGGGTTTAGGGCTTAGGGTTTAGGGTCTAGGGCTTTGGGTTTAGGGTTTCGGGTTTAGCGTTTAGGGCTTTGGGTTTAGGATTTAGGGTTTAGGGGGGCTTACCTGCAAGTACCCTGCATGGGTTAACATAACTATACAAAATGCTATGGAATCCCGATAAGACTCTATTAAAAGCCTTTATGAAACTGGATGAAGACGTTGTGGCGCGAGCTCTTTTAGTAGAAAACCCCCATGCGGGTTTGGGGCTGGCAGCTTGAAGTGCCACAGTAGGGTTTAGTGTTCAGGGCCGAAGCCAACCCAAAGCCCTGAATCGGCAAACCCTCAACCCTAAACCCTAAACCCTAAACCCTAAATCCTAACTCCTAAACCCTAAACCCGAAACCCTAAACCCTAAACCCTCAACCCCAAAACCTCAAGGCCTAAACCTTATGCCCTCATGCCCACACCCTTGGCCCGAAACCCTCAACCCCACTTGGAGGGTCGGGGGACTTCGTAAGTAGGTAATGAGTGGACGTATACGTACCCAAAAGGGACTCTAGCTGGGATTATGATACTTATATGCTGATCTACGTCTATAACACAAGTAGTTGCTAAGTCTTCCGATCCTCCAAGTACAATCCTAAACCCAAAACCCTACAATCCTAAAGCCATGAAGCCGTGAGAAGCTAAGACCGAGGCGCGCATCGACCTCCTAGCAAAGGTTCTGGTCCCCAAAGATCGCTGGCTCGAAGTTGCCGCGCACCCAGGTGTTGGGTTCAGGGGATTCCGGGTTTGGGTATAGGGTTTAAGAGTTTCGGGGTGGGTTTTGGAAACCAGTATAGTTTAGGGGGGTTGGGGACTAGGGTTTAGGGGTTTAGGGTTGAGTAAAGTTTCCTTTGGCAAAGGTGCACAAGCTTGTTTCTGGGCAGAACCAAGGCTTAGGGTGTAGGGTTTAGGGTGTACTTGCAGGGTCGGGGGACTGTCTAAGTAGTTATTTTATAGACTTATAAGTATCATAACCCCAATTAGAGTCCCTTCTTGGGGTACTTATAAGTCTATTTATCACCTACTTACTAAGTTCCCCGACCCTCCAAGTACGGCTTAGGGTTCAGGGTTGAGAGCTTCGGGTGCCGGGTTCAGGAGTTACATAGGCTTCAGGGCCGCGATGATCAGAAGCCCTCAAAAGCCCTACGGCGTGAGTTTCCTCCCCCCTTGAAACCTAAACCCTAAACCCTCAACCCCAAACCCAAAATCCTAAACCCTAGGCCTAAACCCTAAACCCGAGGCAGGCCTACCCGTCAACAGAAACGAGGCTTTGACTGCAGCATTCCAAAGACCAGGTTTAGAGTTTTGGGCTCGCTGTCGAGATGGATGAAGTTTGTTGCGGCTGTTGCGGTTTAGGGTTTAGGGTTTAGGGCCACAGAACCCACAGCCACTTCGGAATTCCAGCACCGTGCGATTGGGTCGACGGCCTCGAAGCCTTGAAGATTGCTTGCAACGAGAGATCCCTCAGGCCTCAAAGTGGTTTAAAATCTCGGATTTAGGTTGCTTGCAGCTTTTATGATGTAGGACTTGTTGGGTTTAGGGTTGCGCCCTCTAACCTTAAGCCTTAGGCCCTTAACATCCAAGTGACAAACCCCGAAACAAGCCTAAAGCTGAAGCCCTAAACCCTAGACCCTACTTAAAGGGTCATGGGACTTAGTAACTGATGTTATAAGTAAGGTAACTATACTTATAATTACTTATGACCCCAATTAAGGTACTTATAACCCCACTTACTAAGTCCCAAGAATCCTCCAAGTAAACCCCACCCGAGGCCTTGGGTCCGGAACCCTAAGCCCTAAACCTTGGTCCCTTAACCCAAACTCAAATCCCACAGCCCTGGCATACAGGCTGCGGTTTAGGGTGTACTTGGAGGCTCGGGGACCTAGTAAGTAGGTAGCAAGTAGACCTGAAAGTACCCGAAAAGGGGCCCGAATTGGGGCCGTAGGTTTCAAGCCTCAAACCTGCCCAAACCCTCAACCCTAATCCCTAATCCCTAAACCCTAAACCCTAAACCCTAAACCCTAAACCCTAAACCCTAAACCCTAAACCCCTAAACCCTAAACCCTAAACCCTTTAACCCTAAACCCTGAAACTTTCCAGCCCTAAGGCCTGAACCCAGAGATCCCCACAGCCTGATCCTATTTCCTGAAAGACCTTACTCGGATCCCGGGGTTTAGGGTTTAGGGTTCAGGGTTTAGGGTTTAGGGTTTAGGGTTTAGGGTTTAGGGTTTAGGGTTTAGGGTTTAGGGTTTAGGGTTTAGGGATTCTAGTCCTGATTAGGGGCGGGGGCTTTCTCAATCAGGGGTCTACATTACTTCAAGGATCATGGGACTTAGTAACTGAGGTTATAAACAAGGTAACTGTACTTATAACCCCAATTAGGGTACTTGTAATTGTAACCCTACTTACTAAGTCCCAAGATCCTCCAATTAGCCCTTGTAACTCCACCCCCCCGAAACCCTATTCCCGTTGTTAAGGCCGCTACAGTAAACCCAGAGCCCGGCGCGCTTGACTGGGAGCCTTATAAACCCTCATAAAACCCGGATACTTGGAGGATCTTGGGACTTAGTAAGCAGGGCTATAAGTACCCAAATTGCGGTTAGAAGTATAGTTACCTTATTTATAACGTCAGTTACTAAGTCCCATGATCCTTTGAGTAAAACCGTTGTAGAGCCAAAAAACACCAAACAAATCCTCATAGCACCCCATGAGACGCTGCAAGGCCCTTCCAAAAACACGGTAGAGCCGTTGTTCTAAAACCCTACGGTGAAGGCCTGCAGAGACTTTTTTGAAACCCTAAACCCCTAAACCCAAAACCCCTAAACCAAAAAACCCTAAACCCTAAACCCTAAACCCTAAACCCTAAACCCCTAAACCCCTAAACCCTAAACCCTAAACCCTAAACCCTAAACCCTTTTTTTGAAACCCTAAACCTCAGATCAGGTGCCTGGGGTTTCCATGAGCCGCGTGCCCGGTCTTTTCACGGAGAATCCCGAACCCGAAGCTCAGAGCGTTTAGGGTTTAGGGTTTAGGGTTCAGGGTTTAGGGTTTAGAGCAGTAACGGCCAACACCTCATGGGTAGTTCTCTAAGTTAGGATCCCTTTTCGGGCCCTTTTTATACAGTATGGTACGCCATTTATAAGGGTGTCACAATTTTTGTGGGACTGGAAAAGGGAGCCCCTAATTTAGAGATCTACCCTTACAGTACCCTTCTAGGTCTTCTTTAGAAACTTAGAAACCCGCATAAATCCCTTGAAGGGTCCCTCAAAAGGGGCCCTACTAATTTAGCGAAGACCGTCATGTGGTAAGACTTCGTAGAGGTTTTTGCCGTTCACCGACGAGGGCTCATGGGTACATATAGAAGTTTCAGAAAAGAAGGGATTGAAATTTAGGATCGATATCATCAGGAAATGTATCCCGGTGTTAAGACATCCTGGTAAGAAAAACTAGCCACGACATGAGTAGTACCGTCCACGAAGCGGAAGCCATAGACTCTAATCCCTGGGCCCTGTGTTGCACTCCAAAGACTCTGGACCCCAAGCAAGAGGCCCTAAACCCCTTGTCTGCCGCTACGTGTCCTAATGCCGCGGTGCACACGAAGCCAGGCGGATATCGCATCCGCAATGAGTGCCTTGAAGCAGCCGCGCCAACCTGCGTTTCCGCCACCCGAACGGGCACCTGCCTCCACTTCGGACGAGCCGAAGCAGCCGCGCGAACCGGCGTTCCCGCCAGCACCTGCTGAAGAGCCGCACGAGCCCGCGTACCCGCCACCCGCATGGGCCGAGACGTGCGCTGCAGCTGCTGCCGAAGCCTCCTCGCACGCGGAAGCCTGGATGCAGGAGAACACTTGGGAGGACAGCGCCCCTTGCTCTAAACCCTAAACCACCCTAAACCCTGATCAGACCCCTAGCCTGAGTACTACTTAGGATGGACGAAATCCTGCAAGGCCCCCAGAGTGGACCATCATTCCCAACATTTAGGGTACCTATGGTACCTAAAGTAGCGCAAGATTTGGTACTTCATTCGTTGTCATTGTCTTTGTGGTCGTAGCAGAAGTAGCAGTGGCAGTAGCAGTAGCAATAACAGTAGTAGAGGAAGTACCCTAAAACCCTAAACCCAAACCCCAAACCCTAAACCCTAATCCTAAACCCTAAACCCTAACCCTAAACCCCAATCCTAAACCCTAAGCCCTAAGCCCTAAGCCCTAAGCCCTAAACCCTAAACCGTAAACCCTAAACCCTGAACCCTAAAGCCTAAACCCTGAACCCTGAACCCTGGACCGTAGTAGTAGAAGAAGTTGTGGTAGGAGGAGCTTCAGGTTTCGGTTCGGCGTGTGGTTTTGGCTTTTCCTTTGTTGCGTGCAGAGTTGGGGTTTAGGGGTTTAGGGGTTTAGGGGTTCGGGGTTTGGGGTTTAGAGTTTAGGGTTTAGGGTTTAGGGGGTTTAGGGGGTTTAGGGGGTTTAGGGTTTAGGGTGTAGGGTTTAGGGTTGGGGGGTTTAGGTTTTAGGGTTTTAATTAGCAACACGATAT